TCTTTTCTGTCTTTTGTTCTTTCTTTCAATCCTCACTCTCCCTTTCAGGTACTGTCCGTCTTGGCCGGCTGGCACTAGCACATGACCTTAAATGGTATGTGTTAACTACCATCTACTACCCGTTTTGTATTTCCTCCACTCTTGACAAGCACGTTAGCAGGTCTTGGTTCTTTCCCTGGATTAAAGACCTCCAAGTCTAGGCCATTTATCATCCTACCTGGATTAGGTTGCTATAGTTGCCTGTTGACCTTAATCACAGGACATGGTAATACCAAAGATGTCATAAAGGATCACCTACCCCCCAGATATACTCTTCCTTACTTACCTTCATTGTGGGGAAGCAACCTAATTCTCCCTTGATAGTCCTCACTCCTCCTAACACTGTAACTCAGCCTGGTGACTCAAAGGCATCAGGAGCCACAAATGGCCAGGAGGGAAGTCTTAGCTTCCAGTGTTAAGTGGAATGTTTGTTATGCCTCCTAGAAGAAGCACTCCCACTCTGGAACTAAAACTTTTAGAGGAGGAAGCAAAAAAGAATCCTACTGGGTCACTGGGGGAGTAGATCCGTGGTACCGTTCCCATTTCTCATCCTTGCTTCCTGTACCCATGAGTCCTGGCTATAAGAAAGGCAATGCCATCTGCCAGATGACATTTCCGAACAAGTGAAGCCTTCTGGAGAACCCTAATACAGTGACCAAACCACAAGTCAGCCTGCTTTGAATGGGGTGCATATTAACAGATGCTATTGTAAGCAAACCAGAAAGTGTCAATTTCTGCCTTCAGAGCCTCAAAACCATAATGGCTTTGAGATGCAAGTTTCTGTGACAGCCATTTTTTTTTTTTTTTTGGTCTTTTTGAGACAGGGTCTCCCTGTAGCCCCAGCTGGCCTAGATTCGCTATGGAGACCAAACTGGCCTCAAACTCCCAGAGAGCCGCCTGCCTCTGCCTCCCAAGTGCTGGGATTAAAGGCGTGTGCCACCACACCTGGCGTGACGGCCAGTTTTAATTAATGGAGCACATGGCAAAAGGAGGTCATCTCTCTTCCACACAAGAAACATCCTTTGGGAGTTTTCTATTCAGTAGTCTTCCCGATGCATTCAAAAGAAAAACCAACGGTGGCTGTCAGATTCCCTATCCTGTTGCTACTAAAGTATCTTTCACCTGAAATCCATCTAGTGCACCTCAAACCTTGGAAGCAAGAACCACCTTGTTAAAACTAAAATAAAGAACACCAGGGAAGGCCGGGTGTGGTGGTGCACGCTTTTAATCCCAGCACTCGGGAGGCAGAGGCAGGCAGATCCCTGTGAATTCAAGATCAGCCTAGTCTACATAGTGAGTTCCAGGCTAGCTGGGGTTAGAGAGAGACCCTGTCTCAAAAAGATTAAAGAAACCTGTGAAGCCCACTCATCCACTCAAGAGCAAGATCTTCACAAGTAATGTATCTCCTGGATGAGGACCTATAAATATCTTGTACAGGTAGCCATAACTGCAGTGTTCATGATTGCAACTGCCATGCTATGGCCACAAAACAGTGCTTCACAGCTGTCCTTCCCACCCTCTGGCTCTTGTGATCTTTCTGCCACGTCTTATGCAGTACTCTCTGAGCCTCGGAGGAGGTGTCAAATTGTGCAGAGCAGTTTCTTCTAAATTCAAACATTCCCTCCAAGGAAGAGAGGTGAGGCTCAGGAGACTCAGGATGTAAATGAACTTCATGTCTGGGAAAGCTGAAACTTCCAAGATTCACGAGGGCCCCTCCCCAAAGTTACAGAAACAGTGAACGGCTTCTGAGGGAGGAGACAGACCAGCAGAGCTGCCTAGAGTTTCTGACTTGCTAAGCTCCAGGGATTCAGCTTTCAAGAGTTCTGGCTCCTGGTGGGTGGGCTTTTCAGTGACGCAACTGCCTAAGAATCATCCCTGCTCCTATTAATAACCCCAGTAAACTCACTGGTTCACCAAGTCAGACTTCACTGTGATTGTTGCTTTGTCTGTCTTGGGTTTCCTCTCTTGGATGAGATGTGTGTGACACCTCTCTTCAGGAATAGTCTCACATACTTTTGAATATTGCTAATGGAATGAGTTTTTAAATTTTATTATTATTATATGTATGAATGTATTGCCTGCATGCAAGCATACCCATGTCATACAATGCCCACAGAGGTCAAAAGAGGGTGTTGGATACCCTGGAAGTGGAATTACAGATGGTTGTTAGCTGCTATATGGATGCTGGCAATTGAACCCTGGTCCTCTGCAAGAGCAGTCAGTGCTCTTAACCACTGAGCCGTCTCTCCAGCCCCAGAATGAGTTTTGAATTAATAAATGCTCAGGTGGGAGAGAATCAACTTTCAAAGAACTGCATTGAAACACTGGATTTGGTGGAAATTTAGCACCTGATGGTCTGTGACTCTTCCACTTGACATCTCCATTTTAGGAAAAAAAAACAGAATGTATAAAGTCAAAAGGAAATGTGTCTCCAGCTTTGCATGAGAAAGAGGCTGCTTTCTAAATGGGGTACATTATCTTCTGTGTGTCACACGAAAGCAAGCCATCTGTTCAGTGAGAGACATTTCAACAAGTTTCGCTGACATGCCTGAGCATGATTTCTGAATGGGTCAGGTGAAATGAAATCGATCAGCACTAATAGACCGGCCATTTTCAGCCGCAATTGCCACTACACTGAGGAACATGGAACTGGTCCACTCAGTGCACAGGGTTCATTCTCACTGCTCTGATGAGTACTGCTTCTAATGGACACTGCAGTAGTTACTTTTCCAATGACTATGACCAAATTACTTGACAGAAGCAACTGGTGGAAAGATGTCACATGGTTTCAAAGGACACAGTCCATCATGACCAAGGTGTAGTGGAGTAGCCCCATGCCAGCTGGAACATGTGACAGAGCTCTTCACATCATGGCTGGACCAGACAGCAAAGAAATAGAGCAGGACCGGAGGCAGGGATGACTTTCAAAGGCCCACATCAAATGGCCTTGCTTTTCCAGTTAGGCCCCATGACCCAAAGATCCTACAGCGTCCCCAAATAGGCTGCAGATAAAACATTCAATATATTGGCCTGTTGAGGACACTGCAGATTCCCAGTGATTGGGTTTTTGTGGGGTTATTTTTTTGTCTTTTTGTTGTTGTCATTAAGACAGGGTCTCTCTGTAGCCTCAGCTGGCCTAGAATTCACTATGTAGACCAGCCTGGCCTTGAACTCACAGAGATCCACCTGCCTTTGCCCTCCAAGTACTGGGATTAAAGGTATGACACCACCATGCCTGACATCAGACTTAGATTTTTAAGTTACTTTCTTGCTAAGGGCTGAGTAGTCTCCCCACTCCCATCATATATCAAAATGCAACAGTATTTAAGAACATAACTGTATTTGTAGGTTGAGCTTTAAAATGGCAATTAAGCCAGGCGCCACACCAGGAGTCAGAGATAAAGACAATAAAATATAATCAATAATGTGAAAGATGGTCTACTTTTTCAAATTATGGAATTGGGGCTGAGGCTATAGCTCAGTGATAGGGCTTTTCAAAAACAAAAAAATGCTTCAAGACCAGAGTTTTATTCCTAGCAAGTCAAAAAAATGAAACATAACAAATTATTGAATCATTGTTAAAGCAACTAGAATTGAGGTTCAAGGTAATCATAAATGCATTTCAGGTGCACTATCTGATGAATGAGGTTAGGCTACTTAAATTTAAAAATTATTATTGCTGGGCATAGTGGCATATGCCTTTAATCCTAGCACTTAGAAGCAGAGGCAGGGGGATCTCTCTGAGATCAAGGCAGCCTGGTCTATGTAGTGAGCTCCAGGGCAGCTGAGACTAAAGGGCAACTGTCTGTCTCACAAAAAAAAAAAAAAAAAAAAAAAAAAAAAATGTTGGAGCAGGAAGGCAGGGGGCAGTGCATATTATCATGATAACTTGTGGGCATGGATTCTCTCTCCTTCCACCATGTGGGTTTTAGGTCAGCAGGCTTGTTGGTGACCTTCACCTGCTGAGCCATCTCACCAGCCCTAATTTATTTTTTATTTTGTTTTACAATTTAGGTAGATGTGAACACATGTGCACCATGGCACACATGGGGACGTCAGACGGCAACTTGCAGGAGTTGGTGCTCTTCTTCTACCATGTGGGTCCAGAGCTAGAACTCTTCAAACTTGGCAACAAGTCTCTTTATCTGCTGAGTTATCTCATCAGCCCAAAGTTAATTTTTTTTTTAAATAGAAGGAAGAGTTTATTTGAGCTTATGGTTCCAGGGAAATTACAGCCAAAGTTAAGCTTTACCAAAAAAAAATTTTGTGTGTGTATGAGCATATTGCTTGCATGTATGTTAAGTGCACCGGTGTCATGCAATGTCTTCAGGAGTCAAAGAGAGTATTAGATCACCCAGACTTGAGTTACAGTCATTAGCCACCATGTAAGTGTGGGGAATTTAACTTGGGTCTTTTGAAAGAGCAGTCAGTGCTCTTAACTGCTGAGCCATCTCTCCAACCCCCAAGGTTAAACGTTTTTTAATTTTTTTTGTCTTTTTAATTCAGGATCTCCCTGTAGCCCTAGCTGGCCTGGAACTCCCTATGTAGACCAGGCTGGCCTTTAACTGGCAAAGAGCTGCCTGCCCCTGCCTCCCAAGCACTGGGATTAAAGGCATTTGCCACCATGCCCAGCACTTCATTAGCATACTTCAAAGTTTTACATTTCTGTTTGGTTTCCTGACACATGATGAGCAGGAAAGTATATCAAAATCCTATTATATATTCTGTCAATTTATTCTCCAGTGTAAACTCTAACATTCACTGTTTTGTTTTTTGTTTTTTAATGTTTTGCCTGTATGAATGTAAGTACACCATGTGTGCAGTCTCCGAGGTGGTCAGAAGAGGGCATCAGATCCCCAGAACTAGAGTTACAGATGATTGTTAGCTGCCATGTTAGAGCTGGGAACTGAACCCAGGTCCTATGCAAGACCTCCCACATGGAGGTCTTTTTGCTGGATAAACATTTTGCCATGGTCATACTTCTGTCAACAATGTGCTTACAAGTAGTTTGATAAACTGCAGTGAAATTATCCTCCTCCAGAGGGATTTCTTAGTCTGCACTCACAGGACTTGTCTTACTGTACACTTTTTCAGATACAATTTAGAACATTTTAAGGTTATCCAGCATGTTTTCACTGGTCAAAATGAGAAGTAACAGATTACCAAAGGCACTACCATACTGACTGCCACCAGGTTTATCTCCTGAGAAAATTTTTTGTGATCCTAAGTGACAACAGGCAGTACCACAATTACACTTGTCTGCTACAATCACACAGATGTTTAATGAAGTTGGGGCTGCCACAGAAGACATTTCCAGCCTGCCTGAATAAGGTTTTGTGTTCTGTGTGAGTTCACTTCTGAGTTCTAAGCTGGGCCTCTCTCTTAAAGGGATTTTCAACCTAAAATACTCTACGTACTTCTCTTATGTGCATTTTCTTATGTTTAACAAGGTTTGACAGGTGGGAAAAGGCTTTCCCACAATCTCCGCACTTGTATGGTCTCTCTCCTGTATGAGTTCTGTTATGTACATTGAGCACAGACTTTGTGGTGAAAGCTTTCCCACATTCATTGCACTGATAAGGCTTCTCACCTGTGTGAGTTCTCTGATGGATGACGAGGCCATATTTATGTGAGTAGGATTTTCCACACTCAGTACATACAAAGGGAGTCTTTCCTGTATGGCCTCTCTCATGTTGTACGAGGCATATCTTCTGGCTGAAGGCTTTGCCACATTCACTGCACTCATAGGGCTTCTCCCCTGTGTGAGTTCGCTGATGTATAACAAGAGTGCGCTTTGAGGAGAAGGCTTTCCCACATTCATTGCACAGATACAACTTCTCTCCTGTATGAGTTCGCTGATGTATAATGAGAGTACGTTTCACGGTGAAACCTTTTCCACATTCACTACAAATGTAGGACTTTTCCCCTGTATGAGATCGCTGATGTACAATGAGATTACTCTTTACAGTAAAGCTTTTTATACACTCACTGCAAACATAGGGCTTCTCTCCAGTGTGAGTTCGCTGATGCACAACAAGATAGCGCTTCATGGTGAAGCCTTTTCCACATTCACTGCATATGTAAGGTTTCTCCCCTGTATGAGCCCTCTCGTGCACAACAAGATTGCTCTTGACAGTGAAGCCTTTCCCACATTCACTGCACACATACGGTTTCTCTCCGCTATGAGTACGCTGATGAACAGCTAAGTAGCGCTTCATTGTAAAGCCCTTTCCACACTGGCTGCATACGTGGGATTTCTCTCCCTTGTGGCCTTGTTGTTTTACAGTGAGATGCCTTGAAACAGTAGGGCCTTTTCTAAGCTCACTGACTATAGGTGCTTTGTCTCTTGTATGAGTTTTCTGATTCTTAGGGAACATGACACTTCTGGGTGATTTCTCATATTGAACACACGCAGGCATCTCTCCTGTATGAAAGTTCTCATGGTTAATGAACGTTTTCTCACTTTCAGTGTGTGCATGGGGCTTCTCAAGTTTTGGAGTCTTCTTGTGTTTTAAGCCTTGGAATTTACTTTCAGGGAGTTTAACTTCAGTACACACACATTTGTTTTTGCCATGCAAGTGGGTTTTCTCATCTCTATTAAATTCGACAGTGATGTTTACTTCATGTCTTCTATTTTGACTAATTAAGTTTGATTTTGAAATTTTTCTTTCCAATCCAAACATGCAGTTTTGTGTTTTGCTCAGATGAATGTCTCTAAATTCATTCTGTTCGATGCAATTGTGCATACTCTTCAGAAATCTTTGTTTTTGACAGTACACTTGCATATTACTCTCATCTTTCTTTAGTCCTAAAAGGGAAAAGAATTCTTCCATGAGAATGAATGGTATGGTATAAAAATGCGTAGCTGATTTGGTGGGGTCTGGCCACTGTCAGCTGAATGAACAAGTCTACAATAAAGTAATAAGGATGTAAGATGAGATGAAAGAAACAGTGCTAGTCAAGAAGAGACGGGGATATATTCAAAGCTTTAAAGCCCCACAGAAAAAGCTTCATACAGGGAGATGAATATAAGACGTAGACAGCTATTTATGTACCCACAGATGCTTCACAAAAATACACACCTTGAGTGCCCACAGTACAGCATCCAAAACACTCTCCTCACTGGCTGTAACTACTATGGTTTCACTGTGTCCCTCAAAAGGTGTGTTGGAAACTTAATTGTCAATACAACAGTATGAAGAGATGAAACCTCTTGAGAAGTAATTCAGCTACAAGAAGCAGGCCATCATGAATAATCAGCACTGTTACAAAAGGCTTGAGGCTGGAGAGATACTCAGTGGTTAAGCACTGGCTGCTCTTGCAGAGGACCCAGGTTTAGTTCCCAGCACCCACATCATGGCTAACAACCGTCTGTAATTCCAGTTCCAGGAGATCCGACACGCTCTTCTGACCATCCCAGGAACTGCATGAAATGGGTGGTGCACTTACATACATACCGGCAATACACTCATACACATAAAATAAAAGTAATAAACAAAAGATTTTAAAAATAATATAAAAGGCTTGAAGCTCTATGCTTGATCTCCTGCTGTCTCCCACGTACACTCTCTTCCCCTCTGTCATGGCATGTGGCATGCAGCTCCTTGCCAGATTCAGCCCCTCAATTTTAAGACTTCTCAGCCTCCAGAATGATTTAAAAAATAAGTCTATCAATTACTCAGAGTTTGGCAGTCTGGGATGATAGTACAATCGGACTAAAATATCCACTCACCCGGACAGGTTTTAGTCTGGATTTTATCTCCTATTATCCATGGTCCCTTTTCATGGTCTAACTTGGAGAATGCATCTAGTTTAGTGTCTCCATACCCTATACAGAAGAAAACATGGATGACTCAGACAGATTGAAGTGTAACATGTCAAATGGGAAAGACAACATAATTTCTCATACACAGAGTACAAGTTCATTTTCAGAATAAGGGAAGATATACCACTTCGAAGCTAGAAAGGGGACTGAGAAATCAAACATGTGAGAACATCACAATGCCTGCAGACTTTTTATCAGATGAGATAAAAATTCACTTTCTGGGTACTCTTGAAGTGATCAGAAACTATCCTCACCCAGTGATATGAGATTTTTATAGTTCTCCAGCATCACATCCCGGTACAGGTCCCTCTGAGCAGGGCTCAGGAGCTGCCACTCCTCCCCGGTGAACACCACAGCCACATCCTCCAGCGTCAGTGACTCCTGTAACAACACAATCTCTTTTCATGTAATCTGAATTCCTATTTTTTAAATTTATTTTATTATTCTTATTTATGTGTATGAGTATATTGCCTGCATATGTATCTTCTTTATTTATTTATTTATTCATTCATTCATTCATTCATTCATCCATTTATTTATTTTTGGTCTTTTTGAGACAGGGTCTCCCTATAGCCCCAACTGGCCTGGAACTCACTATGTAGACCAAGCTGGCCTTGGACTCATAGAGTCCCTCCCGAGTCCAGGGAGCCTGGCTTTCCTGCATATGTGCAAGTGTACCCGTTTTGTGAATTGTGTGGAGATCAGAAGAGGGTGCCAGATTCCCTGGACTGCATTTGTGGATGGTTGTTAGCTGCCACCTGGATGCTGGGAACCAAACCCAGTCCCCTCTAAGAACAGCCAGTGCTCTTAACTGCTGAGCCATCTCTCCAGCCCCTAAATTCCTATTTTTAACACAGAAGTATGAGAGGAGTTTTCTGTTACCACATAGCCTGCTTCCATGTGCCTTTACAAACTATAATTTGTTTTGTTTGTCTTTTAAGACAATGTCTTACTATGTAGCCCTGACTGGCTTGGAACTTGCTATGTAGACCAGACTGGCCTTGATCTCAGAGATTGCCTGCCTCTGCTTCCCAAGTAGTACTGGAATTAAACACATGTGCCACAATGCCTAGTCAAATACATTTTGATAGAAGATAATTCCATCTTCCTAACTATAAATATCTATATGTAAATGACATCAGGACAAGTAAAACACTCATATTACCAAAGACTTCATGGTCAATGTGAGAATCTTTCAGAAGTGGACTCAACACTCTGAATTTATAAAACGGTGCTTTTAAGTAAACGAAAAAAAAAAAATATACAATATAGGTCTGAAGCACAAAAGGTCATTAGGGTGATTAGGGAGGTCTGAGTTAAGGGAAGATATGGGTAAGGATAATGTTGCTTTCTAAACCCCATCAAAGAAAATTCCTACTCTACATGCATAATCCCAGTTCTTGAGATGCTGAGGCAGAAAGACAGCAGCTCAAGGCCACCCTGGGCTACACAGCAAGCTTGAGGTCAGACTGAGACATGGAGTGAGACCCTAAGTCATCAAACAAAAAACAAACAAACAAAAAATATTTTAAGGAAGTTCCTAAGACCTCAATAATATAAACTCTCTCAGAAACTGATCTACCTCTCCAAACGTTAACTGCACATGATGTAGCTTTTTGTGTTTCTCTGGTTATGATGGTTTTATGAGATACTAGATGCAAGGTGAAAACTTACCTAACTTACTGAATCCACCAGTCACACATTATTCTAATGTTAGTCATTTAGTATAACTGCTGTGAATATATCCTTGGGCCCATTTTGCCCAGATTCCAAAATTACATTCTAAGTGAATTTCTCTCCAGAATACAATCATCTCAATATATCATTGTTTTAGTTGAACTGATTTTTTAGATCACAAATGCATCTAAAACAAAGGAAAAAAAATAACACAAATCAAAATCACCTGAAGATCAGTCATTTTCTTCTCTATACGAGAAATAGTCCTTAGCATAGAGTCTAGTTTTTTTTTTTTTTAATATCTTCTACATTGTCATAAGAATCTTGGTGTCCAGTTAAATTTGTCCTCAGAAACAATATTCAAGAATAGAAACTTCTCCTTTCCCCTGGATTCTTTTCCTTGACTCTTCTTGCGTCTGGAAAGGCAGCACCTGTGGGCTAAAGAGCAAATTAACTTGGAGTCTCTACAGTTTATGTGCTGCTAGGGACTGTAATCCAGGGCTTTGTACATGCTAGGCAAGTGTGCCACTGAGCCACAACCCCAGCCCACTGGCATTATTTAAAACCCTGAGTTCCTTATATACCTCTTGAAAAGGAGGCTACATATGCACAATTAGTCATACTTAGCTTGAAGGACAAGGTATTAAGCAAACCATAAGGATTACCTATCGTACTTCAACACTGTACAATCAGGGAAATTGGGGCTGGAGAGATGGCTCAGCGGTTAAGAGCACTGGCAGCTCTTGCCGAGGACCCAGGTTCCGTTCCCAACACGCACATGGCTGTTAGCACCCATTCTTAACTCCAGTAGCAGGGGATCTGACATCCTCTTCTGGCCTCCGTGGGTATTGTACACAGGTACACTCACAGGCATGCAGGCAAAACACTCATACACACAAAATAAAATAATTAAAAATTGTGTAAAAAATAAATAAAGGAAATAACTAACAATGGATTGACCCTCAATTCCTGTGAGCTAACCTCTAAGCCCTTGGAATGTCCTGTTTGAAAAGACTTAGTAAGAGTCCTTGCTTGCTGGGTATGGTGTGCACCTTTTATCCTAGCACCTGGATAGCAGACACAGGTAGATCTGTGAGTTTGAGGCTGGCCTGGTCTACACAGAGTTCTAGGCCAGCCAGAGCTACACAGTGAAACCCTGTCCAAAACAAAAGTCTTTGCTTACCTCCTGCCAGATGATTTATCTAACTGACAACATTTATTGTCAGATGATCTATGCTAACTGATACGATTTACTACCTTAGGTGCTGACACAGTATCAGCCAGACCTCTGTAGGGGCTGAAGATTTAGAGCAATCATATAAATAATCATGTATGTATTAACTGGGACCCAAGAAAACATCAAGACATTAAGGCTTAGGTGAGTTTCCTTGATTAGTGAAAAGAAAAATAGGCAACTGAACCTTAATTCCACACCCACATTGACTAATAAAACACACAGAAAATAAGGAAACAGAAAACTTCAAAACCACTGACTTAGCACACACCTTTAATCCCAGCACTTGGGAGGCAGAGGCAGGCAGATCTCTGTGAGTTCAAGGCCAGCCTGGTCTACATAGTGAGATCTAGGCCAACACGGGTGACAGGGAGACCCTGTCTCAAAAAGACAAAAAAAAAAAAAAAAAAAAAAAAGTGAGCTATGGAGATAGATCTGTCAGTAAAGTGCTTGCCTGGCAAGAGTAAGTACCTGAGTTCAACCCTCAGAACCACATAAAAAAGCTGCTCATGGTGGCTTGTAAGTGCTGTGGAGCCAAAGACAGGCAGATTCCTAGAGCTTACTGGCCAGCTAGCCTCGCCTACTTGACAAGATCCAGGCCAATGAGAGACCTTGTTTCAAATAAAGAAGGTGAATGACACTTGAGGAATGAGTCAAAGTTGTCCTCTGACCTTCATACATATGTGCCTACACACACACACACACACACACACACACACACACACACACACAAACGAACAAAGTGTTCTTGGCTGGGAATATAGCTCAGTGCAATGCTTGCATAGGCCCTAAATTCAATCCCCAGCAATGTAAAAAAAGAAAAACGGTGGGGCTGTGTAGCACAACAGGTAAAGTTATCTGCTGCCAAGCCTGAGGTCCTGAGTCCATTCCTGGTACCTGCACGATGGAAGGAGAAAACCAAGGCCCCCAGGTTGTCCACATGACCTCCACACGCATGACATTTTCATTCTCTCTCATTTCCCCCTTCCTCCCTCCCCCCTCTGTCTGTCTCTCTGTCTCTCTGTCTCTCTGTCTGAATTCCTTAAAGGCTTAAAAGAGGGGCTGGAGAGACAAGGTTAAGAGTACAGGTTTGTAGAGGACACAGGTTTGATTCCCAGCATCCACATAGAAGCTAACACCTGTCTTAGTTCCAGGGGATCCAAAGCCTTCTTCTGACCTCCTTAGGCATTGCATGACACGGGTGCATTTACACACATGCAGGCAATACACACATACACATAAAATACAGAATAGATTTTTTTTTAAGTTTAAAAGAAAAAGTTTTCTTCCTTGGAAACAGAATATAGGATCACAGGTGATACTTTTAGACAGAATGATCACACATAGGAATATCCAAAAGAAGTAGAGTTAAATTAGAGGTGAGAAGACTAACAGTAAGCACAACAGATCAGTCTGAATCAAACTCCATGTAATGCAACCACGAAGAACAGGAACGCGGGGAGTCAAGAACGTTTCTAGGAAGGAGCATGAGAACTCGAACTTCATGAATTACCAGGGTTTGGGTCAGTCCCCAGTATTCAGTATTCGGACCTCAAACCCCGACTCCGGAGATCCTGGACTTCCTCTGACAGTGACGGCCCACCAGGCGTCGCTATGGTCCAGCCCATGCTAAATGCCACCTACGTCCACATCACTAACGCCAGGTTCCCTCCGAGACCGCGTCCTCGCACCCGCTACACAGCCCAAGGCCACCCAAGGCTCACTCACCGGTCCCAGAGCCGCGCCCCGCACATCTCAGCCTCCAAAGCGGAACGGGAATGCTGACCTTCATCCATACCGGAAGTCAGACGGAACGACGAACCAAGTGTCCCTTCCAAACCGGAAGCACTACGGAAGCCCTGTCCTGAACCCTTTCCAGGCGGGAAGTCCTACAAGGCCGCTTCTAGGGGGTCCTTGAACTCGGCAGCCTGATGTCTGTAACTGTTAATGGAAACTGTGGTTGGAATTCCGAGTTACGGATCTAAAGACAACCTGAAATAACAAGGCCAGGCCCATTGCGACATATGAGGCGCCACGACGTCGGGGAAGAATTAAAACCACTTCCGCCTCCGTCTCTGCCATTCCCGGTGTTTCCTAGGGACGCCCCCCCCCCCCCCCCCCCGCACTGGGAACAGGGTTAGCATAAGCGTTTTCAGAGGCCAGTGACTGCCCGCGGCATCTTTTCCGAGTGCGCACTGAAGCTTCGGTCCGGCGGCAGCGCCGTGGGGCGGCCGTGGCAGAGAAGTCGCTTGTCCGTCTGTCCGAGGAGCTGCTTTGAGGCGGCACTAGAGACAGAAGCTAGTTTTGTTGATCGCAAACCCTTTGTAGGGAGCTGGTGGTCAGAGGTCCTTTACAAAGCCTTAACGTCCCCGTGGATTCGGGGACTTGGCTGGAGCTCAGCTGGTGGAAGGCTTGCCGCCAAGGACAAGGCCTGAGCCCCAGCACTGAAAACCAGGCCTGGAGGGCCCCAAATCCCAGCACACGGGAAAGGAGGGCTGGTACAGGAGGACTGCTGCGAGCTCGAGCCACTGGGCTAGAGTGAGAACCTGTGTTAAACCCCAAAGAATTTTTTTAAGTTCTTTTCTGCCATGTGTGCTGCGCCCCCTTGAATCCCAGAATTAGGGACGCGGAGGTAGAGAGATCGCTGTGAGTTCCAGGCCCGCTGGGCTACAGGAAGACCCGGTCTCGAAGAACCCAAAATGGTGATCTTTCCTTCTACAGTAACGCTGCACTCTGATGGTCATGGTCTTTATACAAATATGTTATAAAATTTATTAGACCTTTACATACACACAAAAGGAAAATATACCAATTTAGTGCATATAAAAATTAGTAACATCCAAAAGAAGCCTGTAATCTATGTATGTTCAGGGTGGGTGTAGCTCAGGTACAGCACATACTTAGCATGCACAGAGCTTACAGTTTTATCCCTGGACACTGAAAAATAAAACTGTAAATGTCATTTTCATTGACTTCGATTGTGCATTATAGTTAAAATCACGGAAGACACAATGAAGGACACTAAAAAATGTGTATTTTGTGCACTCCTACGAACCTAAAGTTATTTCAAAGCAAATCTTAAGAATTTTAAGGTTTCATTTTTAATTATGTATATGAATGTATGCCTATGTGTGGGTATGTGCACATGAATAAAGTGCCCTCAGAGACCAGAGGTGCAAGTTCTGTAGGAGCTGGAGTTACAGGCAGTTGTGAGCCACACAACATGGGTGCTGGGAACCAAACTCTGGTCCTCTGCAAGAGCAGCAAGTGCTCTTAACTGCTCAGACATCTCTCAGCATCTCTTTTTTAAACTAAGTTTATACACATGGATTATTACTGGCATTTTAAATTTATAAATGTTTCTTTTTTTCTTTGGTCTTTTTGAGACAGGGTCTCCTTGTAGCCCCAGCTGGCCAGACTAGCCTTGAAGTCACAGAGATCTGCCTGCCTGCCTCTGAGGACTGGGATTAAAGGCCTGAGCCACCACACCCCACAAATCTGTTTCTTTTAAAGTACATCAGCAAACAAGCTTCAAGCCTAAAATATGCAGAGTTAATTACATGATACAAGATGGGCACAGATCACTTCTGCATTGTATACAACACTAAAATGTAATCTACATTTTAGAAATGAAAACAACACTTTAGTCAATGCAGTAAATATTCAAATCATCCTGTTACAAAATGGACATCAGGTATATGGTGAATTTTTTACTTGTGATATAAAGCCCTCTATCACTTTTAGGTTTCTTTATGAATTTTGACTTTGCTAAAGTTACTCCTTATTGTATTCATTACAAAGTTATTTGTTTATGTATTGATAGGTGGTAAGGCAAGATACATCACTGAAATCCTACCATCAGGATTTTTTTTTTCCTCCCAGTGTGAACTACCTGGTAACTATTAAGGTTTTATTTCTAGACAAAGGCCTTTGGTCTTAAGTCACCTCTGTGTATGAGCTCACTGGTAATTTCTTGGTCTTTCTTTCCCTAGAAGACTAAGGTAGTCTCCCTGTTCAGAGTTTATTTCAAATATACTTTCAAGACAAAAGCTTAGGAAAATTTCAAGATTCTTTAGTCTTGAATATATCATAAGATTTGTCCACATTTACAGTGACATACAATGTGAAGTAATCACCAAGGAGAGTACATTGTGTTCATTAAATTTCACTTACATGCAAGTTCTAATTCTCTCCAAACTGAAAAATCTAGCAATCAACTGCTCTGTGCTAACTCTGTTCGTGTATTCTACAAGCACCGTAATAATGTGCTCATTTACCCCGGCATGAGTTTGCTGGTGTGCAATGAATTCACATTCTCTGCAACAAATTATGTACCTTATACATTACTCCTGGATGCACTGTCATTTTTTTAATGCATCTTGACAAGTTGCCTCCAATAACTGAATCCATAAAATCCCTTGTATGAGTTTGCTGATATACACTGGGTCTATCAAATAATCCAGGCTTATTTCACATGGAAGGCTTTCCCTTGCTTTCACATTAAGTTTGTCGCCTATGTAAGCAACTTGAAGGGTAAGGAGGCCGAGGGTGTGCAGGTAAGATTTCCCTACACTCCCTGTACATAAAAGGAAGTCTATTCTGTGTGAAACACCTGATGTTGCACAAATAAATTTCCTTCCTGAAGGCAGGACCCTGTTCATTGCATCGTTAGAGGTTTGGGCCTATGATTTTGCTGATGTACAATGAGATTTCTCTTTGAGGAAAAACCTTTTCCACAGTCACTGCATACAAAGGGTTTCTCTCCTGTGTGGGAGCGTTGATGCACTATGAGGCGGCTTTTCACAGTAAAGCCTTTACCACATTCATCACATGCATATGGTTTCTCTCCAGTATGAACTTGCTTATGTAATATGAGCTCTGTTTCCAGGGCAAAGCCTCTTCCACATTCACCACATATATAGGATTTCTCCACTATATGAGTTTGTTGATGTACAATGAGGTAGCGTTTCATGGTGAAGCCTTTGCCACACTGACTGCACACAAAGGGTTTCTCTCCAGTATGAGTTCGCTGATGTACAACAAGATTGCTTTTAAAGGCAAAACCTTTTCCACATTTACTGCATATATAGGGCTTCTCTCCAGTATGTGTTCTCTGATGTAGAGCCAGTCCACTATTCACAGTGAAACCTTTCCCACATTCACTGCATTTGTAAGGCTTCTCTCCAGTGTGAGTTCGCTGATGTACAATCAACCGACTCTTTAAAGGGAAGCCTTTCCCACATTCACTGCAGGTATATGGTTTCTCTCCAGTGTGAGCTCGCTGATGTATGATAAGCATGCTCTTCACAGTAAAACCTTTTCCGCATTCATTACATAGATATGACTTCTCTACTATATGAGTTTTCTGATGTACAATGAGATTACTCTTCCTGGGAAATCCTTTTCCACATTCATTACATACATAGGGTTTCTCTCCTGTATGTGTTCGCTGGTGTTCCATCAGACGGTTCTTCATGGTGAAGCCCTTCCCACATTCATTGCACACATAAGGTTTCTCTCCTGCATGATTTCGTTGATGTATGATGGCATAGTGCTTTGTGGTGAAGCTTTTCCCACATTCACTGCATGTATAGGGCTTCTCTCCTGTATGAGTTCGCTGGTGTATGATAAGCATGCTTTTACCAGTGAAGCCTTTTCCACACTCATTACACACATAGGACTTTTCCCCTGTATGATTCTGCTGATGTACAATAAGATTACGCTTGCCTGGGAAGCCTTTTCCACATTCATCACATATGTAGGGTTTTTCTCCAGTATGAATTCGCTGATGTTCAATCAGATGGCTTTCCATGGTGAAGACTTTCTCACATTCACTGCATATAAAGGATTTCTCTCTTTTATGAATTCTCTGATGTTCATTCAGTCTGGACTTCCTGGAGAATACCTTTTCACACATATTACATCCATAAGGCTTCTCTCCTGTATGAACTCTCTCATGATCAGTGAGTTGAGAATTCTTGAAAAAGGCTTTCCCACATTCACTGCAAACATGGGCTTTCTCTATTTCATGAGTTATTTGGTGCTTAGTGATTTGAGACTTCTTGCTAACAGGTTTTGCACTTATAGGGACTTTAACTGCAGAATGCAGTTCCTCATGCCTACCATTTAGAAATGATTTCATATTTTCCTTAAGGTTTGTAGGGTTTTTAACTTCATAGTATTTGTTTGTGTTGACTGTGTTTAAATTTGATTTCAAAGTTTCACTATGTAGGTCAAATATTTCATGACGTTTCCTGAAAGAAAAATGACTTTCACTTTGAAGAACAGTGTTTGTAATTTCATTATGTTCTTGGTATGGTTCTAGACTCTTCAGGATTCTTTGATTTTTCAAGTGACCCTGCAGGTTTTGATCAACTTTTCCATTTTCTAGAAAGAAGAGAACAATGACTCCTTTAATAATTTCTGTAGAGTAATTTTTTTTTCATTCCTTGGTGCCTTAAAATATGGTTTGGAGGCTGGGGACATAGCACAGTGGTAGAGCACATGCCTAGCATCCAAAAAGGTTTCATTCCTAGTACCACAAGAAAAAAAAGTTTTTTAATGTGTGTGTATGCATATAGTGCATGCATGTATGTAAGTGCACCCTTTTCATGCAATGCCTGAGGAGAACAGAAGAGGGTGTCAGATCCCCTGGGACTGGATTTATGAGCTGTTGGAGCCACCATGTGCATGCTGGGATTCAAACATGCTGGCTACTGACTATCTTCAAGGACATTCTGGGCTTTGGAATAACAAGCTCAAGATGAAGGCCATGGTGTCGGTCAGGGTGCTGGTTGACACCTCCACACGGTTCCTTGTGTGCAGTGAGCTTCATGGCATTCCTCCAACTTGTTTGTGTCCAGTCAACCCTGTTGCCCCGTCTCTCTTTATACTATTTGGTTTCCTTCATCTTTCCAAATAGAAATTGTAAAATATGTGGACAAGTCACTGTACACAAATGATTTGGTGGAGTACTACTGGATCGTGGGGAGACACTGATCCAAAGGGTAGAGGAAACAATGGCCACCGATCCAAAGAGTAGAGGAAACAATGGCCACCAATCTAAAGGGTAGAGGAAACAATGGACACTGATCCAAAGGGGAGAGGAAACAATGGACACTGATCCAAAGAGGAGAGGAAACAATGGACACCGATCCAAAGGGTAGAGGAAACAATGGACACGGATCCAAAGGGGAGAGGAAACAATGGTCACCGATCCAAAGGGTAGAGGAAACAAAGGACACCAAATCAAAGGGTAGAGGAAACAATGGTCCAGCACAAAGACGAGTCTGCTTGTTACATGGTTTCCATGTAGAAAACACTACTTTTGCCATACACAAAATATGCCTTAAAATTTTCATACCTCAAATTCTAGTTATGGAAAACTAAATAAATTGGAAGGGAGTTGGAGATGGTTAAATGTCAGTTGAAGAAGCACTGGATATGGACCTAGAGGAAGAGAGAGATCTGCATAAAAAAGACAAGATTGAATGATGGCTTTAAAGTAAAGAGTGATTAGAAAAGTAAGACATGAAAGATTGTTTTGCTTTACTGGCAAAATAGAGGAGTCTTTAATGTGACAGGTGATATTACAAAGTCCAGAGTGCATAGAATGAAACATGCTTTGTGAAATATAAATTATTACCAACATCAAGAACCTATCTGGAGACTGGAGATGTTCTCAGTCAGTACAGCATTTTCTGAGTATGCACAAAGCCCTGTGTTCAGTTTCCAGCATTGAGTAAACTGGGCAAGGTGGCACACACCTGTAGTGCTAGCACTCAGGTTAGAAGGCAGGAGGACCAGAAGTTCAAAGTCACCCTGAGCTACATAGTAAGTTTGAGTCCAGACTGGGCTACATGGGGCACTATCCTATTTAAGAAAAAGGGATTTGGGCCTGGAGAGATGGCTAAGTGGTTAAGAGCACTAATTGCTCATGCAGAAGACCCAGGTACAATTCCTAGCAGCCATATGGCAACTAACAACCATCCTTAACTCCAGTTCCAGAGAATCTGATGACCTCTTCTGGCCTCCATGGGTATTGCACACACTTGATGCACTTACATATAATTCAGGCAAAACAGACACGTAAAATAAATAAACGGGGCTACAAGGCCGGTCAGGAGGTCCAAGATGCTGGAAGCATCACCCATTTTGTGGTTTCTAGGTCCTGTCCAGCACAGTGGTGGGCTCTGAAGGTGATTAAACTCGAGGACATGGCCCAGGATCTTCCTGTGTTTACAAACTCTGCCTCTGGAAGTCTAATCTAGCAGAGAGGAGTGAGTGGACGAGATTTTTCACAATTGAGAATAGCGACGTAAAGCAAGATGTCTGTAGACTCAATGACCTACGAGGCCCAGTTCTTCAGCTTCACACCACAAACTCGCCTACTGTGGATCTGCACTGCATTTCAACACCTCCTGTTTGAAGTGAAGCGGGCTGTTGAACAGAGTATTCTAAAGAAGCTGGAGGACATTCCAGACTGTGAGAGTATCCCCGTCCAGATTCGTAAATGTACAGAGGAGTTTTTGGCTTCATGAAAGAAGTTTTGATAAGTTTTTGGCAAAATGGAGCAGCTGTTTTTGCAGTTAATTTTGTGTGCTCCCCCAAACATCCTGCTTCCTGAAGATAAAGGTCAGGAGACACATCCTTTTAGGGATGAATTCCAGCTTCTCAGAAAGGAAATTGAGGAGTTACAGAAGTATAAGACTGAACTGTGTACTAAGCAGGCCCTGCTTGCAGAATTAGAAGAGCAAAAAATTGTTCAAGTCAAACTCGAAAGAGACCTTGACTTGGTTTGATGAGCTTGAAAATGCCAGCAGAGATTGTAGAACTAGTGATTTTAAGGAGGGTTTGGTGTCCCTGCTCCAGAACTCCAGAAAACTCCAGAACATCGGAGACAATGTGGAAAAGGAAAGGAAAAGGCTGGAAAGACCTTAACTTTTCAGTGTAGAAGGAAAGAATGTAAAGAGAGTAGCCTGTTTCCTCTTATGTTTTCCATCTTTTGTAGGTCACCTTTTCTGAAGTATTTACATACTACCTCGACATAGTCTTGGAAGCATCTGTTTATTAGAGACCACTAATAGGTAGAAGGGGGTTCTTTATTCAGCAGCAGCTTATTTGGGGGCTAAAGTGAAGCTGTATACTTTGGTCATGATCTCCAACCTTTTGACTGAGACCAAATGAGACGAGTTACACAGGTGACTCCTTTATCGCACGGGGTGGGGCTAGCCCTGCATCTGTCAGAGCTACGCTTACATGAGGAGGTTGGTAACTGGTTGGAAGAAGGAAGCAGAAAACAGACAGCACTGGTCTCTGATACAGAAGAAAGACATTTTGTTTCCAAAGTAAAGCCTTTCAGTAGGCAGGGCCCTGGTGGTGCTAAGAACTAACCTGGGGTCCAGCCAGAGAAGACAGGACAAAAGCAGATCCCGCCGGAAAAGGAGAAAACATACACACCAAGCAATGGAATCTCTGTTTTGGACTCAGGTTTTGTATCAATTTTTTAAATACTAAAGTTAGTTTGGAATACTAATGTTAGTTGTGTATAATTGTATCTACTGCTTATTCATTCACTGTTGTATGCATCGTCAAATATGTAGTATGCAACAATTCAGAGAGAAACAGCACTGATTGCTTTTAAGATAGCAGTTACTTTCCATGTCTTTCTAAAGAACAAGATCTATCTGGAATTTGTTCCTTGTGTACAGAAGGGACAGTTTAAAGTATCAGTACTTGTAATAATTAGATAGGCATAGACTTAGAAAACCTGTATTTATTTTTATAAAGTCATATTTTAGTCCCATACGTTAAATAAATATGCCTTAAAATTAATTAATTAATTAATTAATTAATTAGAGGAAAAAAGGGTTTGGGCTGGGGGTGTGGCTCAGTGGTAGTATTTGCTAGCATATGTGAGACCTTGAGTTTGACCCCCCCAGCACTCTTAGTGGGGAGGGAGGCAGGAAACAGGATGAGACAGGCCTGGATAACATGTAGAATGAGACATGGTGAAGCTATAAAAACAAGGTTTTAGATAGTCCGCACTTAAGAGTTTTAGGGTACTCTGAACCCATTTATACCAAATGTTTAACTATAGGAACCAGAGAAATGTGTATACTAAGGAGTATGGAAAATATACTTGTTATCTGAAAACTGAGATGTAAGGGTTGTAGCCTTTGAATTAAAACTGAAACTGACTTTTCGTAAATAATTCTTGTTATTATTTCTGTGTGTATATGCCTGAGAGGGCTAGAAGAGGGTATCACATTCTCAGAAGCAGGAGTTAAACTTAACAGTCATGAGCTGCCCAACATGGGTGCTGGGACTGTAGTGTCCTCTGGAAGAGCAGTAAGTGGTCTTAACTGCTGAGCCACCTCTCCAGATGCTATAGTTACCTTTTATACAATGGACACTTAACCATGTCTGAGGTCTGGCCACCCTCTGATTACAGGGAAATGATCTCCTAGCTCCTGAAATGCCACCCCCACCCCCAAAAACAGGAGAGGTGCCTGTTTGCCTGTGGTTTGGGCCACTGGGCAATTGCCAGCCAACTCACAACAGGCGCTCAAGGCCTCTTGCAGTCCAGCATGAATCCTGGGAGTGACTGAAGCCAGGAGGGGAGCCTTGTTGGGAGTATGTGACTAAGCCCTAACCAAAACTTAGGGTACCAAGGGTTCATGTGAACATCCCTGGTCGGCTCCACTATGCACTGTCACAGCATGTTCAAGAGGAGACTGTGTGGAGAGATGACAGCACTGGACCCTCCTGGATTCAGTATAACCCAGGAATTTTATTCCTAGGTGAACACTGAGAAATAACAAAAACATGTTCACAACAAAACCGGGTATCGATGTTTCCAGTAAAGACTCATAAAACCAACAAGGGGAGAGACAAAGACATGCCTTAGGTGAACACACATGAAATGTGACATGACATAACTGGAATGTTATTTGGCAATAAAAAGTAAGGGTGGGACCTGTGAGATGGTTCAGAGGGTAAAGGGACACGCAGCCAAGTCTAATGACCTGAGTTCAATCCATGGGACCCATGTGGTAGGAGAAGCAACTCCTGGAGATTGTTTTCTGACCACACATGCACCTGTAACAGGTGCTTGCCCCCAACTCACTCAAATTAGTTAATTTTCAAAAATTTTTAAAAAGGGATGGAGTGCTCACCCATGTAAAGATATGGATGACGACTGGGTGTTGTGGCCTCGATTCCAAGTGCCAGGGACACAAAGTCAGGAGAATCACCAAGTTTGAGATCACCCTAGGCCACACAGCGCAACCCCGCCTCACAGAAAAAAAGCAAACAAAAATCAGGAAAACACTATAAAAGCTAAGAAAGAAACAAAACACACTAGGAAACTACATATTTTATAATTCCATTTAAATGAAATGTCCAAAATGGGGAAACCTGCACAGAAAGTAGATTAGTGGTAGTCTAGGGCTGAAAGCTTTTAGAGTAAATGGGTTGTTTTTACTTTTTTAGTATTTATTTTCATTTATGTGTATGAGTATATTGCCTGCATGTGTGTAAGTGCACAACTGGCCAAAGTATAGACAAAAAGACTGCAGGGCATGGGTCCCCAGACGCCTGTATGAAACTTCGCCCACCAGGGCTCAGGAACCACTACAGAAGAGGGGGTACAAAGACTGTAAGGGCCAGGGGAGGAGGTGCAGGACCACATGGAGACAGAGTCCTGCAGGCTCCTAGGACTTGCTCACATGAACTTACAGCAATGGTGACAGGAGGCACAAGACCCATGAAAACTCAATCAGACAGCACAGAACTGGGGAAATGGGCAGCAGGCCACAACTTTGATGAGGAACTATTGAATTCAATAGGCCTTAACATATATGACAAAATGCATGAAGTCCTGGGGTGTGATATGGGGGAGGAGAACATGGGACAGATAGGAAAGGGGGGGGTCAAATATGATTAAGATGTATTGTATGGAAGCTGGGCATGTGGTGATGCACACCTTTAGTCCCAGGGCTCAGGAGGCAGAGCAGGTGGATCTCTGTGAATTCAAGGCCAACTTGGTCCACATAGTGAGTTCCAGGCCATTTGGGGCTACAGGGAGGCCTGTCTCAAAATAAGAAAAAAAAATATGTCTTGCATGAAATCCACAAAAAAAAATCAATAAAAATACATTTAAAAAAGAAAGTACCTTTAAAAAACTAAATAAATATAATACAAATGAATAAGGGAAATTATTACAACCCTAAAACGTAGGACAGGCTAAAGGAAAATCAAGATAACAGATGTACAGAGGACGTAAAGCCTTGGCTTGGTTTGGGCTAGAAGTGAGGAGAGACTTCAAACAGTCCTTCCTCCTTGGTGGACACTCAAGGGAACAGAGGCAGGCAGATCAGGTGTGGAGAACTAAGGGAGAATGGAACTTCCAAACACACCATGGGAAATGTGCCTAGTGGAGAGAAGACGACTCATTTCTCACTGGGGAGTGAAAAGCTACAGGCCACTGGAGTGTGCCTTAAATGGCATCAAGGAAAATATCAGTGGGGCGGGGCGTTCTCACCTAGGGAAGAGCGAAAACTTAATCATCATCACCTGAAGGATCGGAAACACAGAAAACACTGAAGAAAACCCCATTAAAGAACCTCAGCGTGGAGGGAAAAGTAGCTAAGAAGACTGATACCTAGTAACAAAATCCGGTTGCCGTGAGGGCACAAAACAGGAGAGGCTGGACATTAGGGAGAAGAACCGCCATTTCCCAACAGGCTTAGAGAACCCGGCAGAAGATGATGGTGAAGTCACAGGTCTACATGTGGAACGTGGTCTGGAAGGTGCAATTTCAGTCAGGGTTGCAGAAGGAACAGACCCTGCGGCAGGGTGTACAGAAGAGGGAGATGGTAGAACCAAGGAAGAAGTAGGCACACGAACAAGAAGTGGGATAAAATAAACAGGTTGGCTAGCCAAGGAGAACCAAGGGGAATATTTGCATCTGAAGACCTAAAGAAACCTGCAGGAGGGGAGCGCTCACTCCGACACACACACCTACTCATCAGGACACAATTCTGTGGTCAGGTGTTTGGCTGGTTCTCACTCACCTGAACAGATTTGACCTTGCAATTCATCTGCCGTCCAGGGCTCTCCTCGTTTCAACTTGGACAGGACAGCTGCTCTGCTGACTTGATACCCTGCCCATGGGAAATGAGGGAAGGCTGAACACAGCAACTGGGCTGGAGCGTATCAACATGGGGAAGGGTTATATTTAGAGATCTGATAGTTCGGGGGTCTGTAAACCAGATGCTTTTCACTGAGAAGAGGGAGCTTTATACCCTCTTACCTGGAGCCAGGGAAAATGTGACATCATGACACAACTCTTAACATATTAAGCAGCTGCTAGACGCCACTGAGTGGGGACTCTGAGTAGCCAGCACAATGTCCTCACCCACTGACACCAGGCTGCTGTAGTTCTCCAGCATCACATCCCGGTACAGGTCCCTCTGAGCAGGGCCCAGGAGCTGCCACTCCTCCCCGGTGAACGCCACAGCCACATCCTCCAGCGTCAGTGACTCCTGTAACAACACGGCCATGTAGTTAATACTGAAGTAAAAAAGCAGTTTATTAAAGAAGAAGGAAAACTTCAGAACTGAAAAAACATTAATTCCAAGAGGTTAAGGCATGGATCCTTATTATACATTATAATACATTATATTATATCATTATATATAATGTATTATACATACATTATGTGGCTGTCATTTAAAAGTTTCCTTGTTAGAAGCCGGAGAGGTGGATCAGTGGTTAGAGCACTGACTGCTCTTGAAGAGGACCTGGGTTCAGTTCCCAGTACCCACATGGCACCTAACAACCACCCTTAACTCCAGTCCTGGGGGAACTGACATGCTCTTCTGGCTCCATGGACACTGCATGCACTATAATGGTGCACTTACACACATGCAGGCAAAACACTCATACACATAAGACAAAAATAATTTTTTAAATCCTTTTTAAAATGATCATCAACAAATGGAATTGTATAGTTAATTTAATTTGACCAAATGCAGTGATTATTCCTTTATCTTTTCTGTTTTATTCTAGTTTTTTAGCTATGTTTCCATGATATATTGTTAGGTTTTATCTATTTGTTTTTTGTTTATTTGTGTTTGTTTTTTTTGAATTAGGGTCTTCCTGTAGCCCCACCTCTGGAATTTGCTATGTAGGGTTTCGGAGTCCCTTGGAACTGGAGTTAAGGATGGTTCTTAGCCACCATGTGGGTGCTGGGAATCAAACCCAGGTCCTCTACAAGAGCAGTCAGTGCTCTTAACTGCTGAGCCATCTCTCCAGCCCCTGTTGTTAGTTTTTTAAAACAGGGTCTCTGTTGCCCACCATGGCCTCAAACTCAGGGTGATTCTATTCCTTGATCCTCCCAAGTCTGGGATTACAAGCATGAACTCCCATACTACCTTCCTTTAGGTATTTAAAATACATCACCATAGGTCTAAAGATTAAGTTCTTTTGAGTATGATTCCACTGCTGCAAAAACTTATAAAAAGCCAGGAGTTGAGGCTGGAGAGATGATTCAGTGGTTAAGAGCATGTACTGTTCTCACAGAGAAACTGAGTTTGGGTTCCAGTACCCATGTCAGACAGCTCATAGTGCTTGTAACTCCACCTTCAGGGGGTCTGATACCCTCTTCTGGCTTCTCTGGGACCCTACATACATGTGCACGCACACACACACACACATTTATACATAAAAATAAATTTTTGTATTTAAAAAAAAGCCAGAAGTCATTGTCCATGCCTGTAATCCCAGCACACAAGCAGAAGATGGAAGGGGGCTCACTTCCAGTGCCAGGTCAGCCTGGGCTACATGGTGAATCAGGGACAAGACAGAGGCCAGCTGTCCTTTAGAACAAGAGGATGTTTGGACATTGGTGGAACACCACCTCCCAGTCCAGGGCAGAACACAGCCTTGGGATAGGAACAATGATAGTGGATGGGCTTGTGTTTTCCTTTCTCATGGACTGGAGCTCTGGGAAAGGGTTTGGTTAGGAACAGAAAAGAAGAACAGCCTTTATTTTGAATTTTACTTGATTTATGTTTTGTACACTGTGTCCTTGGCTGACCCTGCTCATTAGGTATAAAGAGCCACTCTTAGAATTGAACTTGCCTTTCTCCATCTGAGAGTTAGGTCCTTTGCCTTCAATCATTTCGTCGTCCACCAGCAGCCCTGAGTCTCTACAATTATCTATTGTGTTAGCTGTCACAGATATGAAACACAAGACGATAGAAACTTGTTTCACACAGGATCCCCATCCATGCTCAGTGTTCCAACATTAGTCATTAATGGAAATCGTATGAACAGCATATTCCTGATCCTATTTTGCCATAGTAGAGTTAAATGCAAAATTTAACTCTAGAGAGTAAAATCACTTTTTACAAGCATTTACAAATTTCATTAGCAAATAAAGGTGAGATTAAAGCAAAAAAAAAAAAATCACCTGAAAGTGTATCATTTTCTAAGATCCAGGCCCAAGAACCAACTCTCTCTTCAGTCACTTGCTTCTCCTCAGACTCACCAGGATCTGTGAACTAACAAATAAATGTTCCAGGGGTACATTTCCTCTTGCCGGGCACTCACCTTCCAACCCCCAGTTTTTCCTGTGTCTTTATTTTGGTTCCCTAGAGGAATCGTATCTCCAACCAATAACAAAATCCTTGATTGGGTGGGAAAGCTGTCTTTCTTCTGTGAAGTTTGGAATTAGCATAAATGTAAAAGAGCAGTTTGCAAAGGAGAATCTTCCCAGCCTTATCCACAGGCAATCCCCAGATCCACTTAGAAATGAGGCCACGTGGACAGTGGAACTACAGACTTTCAGCCATCTTGCCTTTGTGCCTCTTTAAAAGTCTTTATATATTCTATTTGTACAAACCATTCAATATAAAAACAAAAAAGTGGGAGAAAAGGAGCGAAAAAGTAGAAATTTAAAAGCTAATTAATGCCTGTCTTTATATTTGCACATACATTTCAAAATGCACAGAGTAACTATTAAATTGGCCAGAAGGGGGCTGGAGAGATGCTCAGCCCTTAAGAGCACTGGCTGTTCTTAGAGAAGACACAGGTTTGAATCCCAGCACCCACAGGGCAGCTAACAACACTCAGTAACTCCAGTTCCAGGGGGTCTAGCACTCTCTTCTGTCCTACACGTTCAGTGCACAACATGCGTACACTCACATACATGCAGGCATGATACATAAATAATAAAAGCTTTTCTAGAAGGAAAAGGCTATTCTAAAAAGCTTATTTAGATTTGCAAAGTCCTTCGTCTCTCCCCAGATTCTGAGTGTTCACGCAGAGAATTAGAAAACTGGTCCTGAATGAATCTGGACCAGTAGTTTTCTGGGAGTGTAAACGTGAATCAAGTTCCTAGAGCTAAAGTTTGAAGCTCAATACAAGAGCCTGGGGTCCAGGGCCTCCAAGGCTGTAGCTTTCTCAAGTTCTGCACAAAAGACAGCGCGACCACGACTCTCAACAGATGAATGACAAAATCCGGCCTCCTTCTTTAAGAGCTCCGTGGGCACTAAGCCCCGAGTTGACTCATAACCGGAACCAAACGCCACAGTCCTCCATAGTCGTTTCCCACCAGTTCCCATCACGTAGTCCTAGGGGCCGAGTGACCAGCCAAGGCCCCGAAGCCTCCAGCTCAGAGCTCTGGGTTGATGATGTGTTCAGACACTTTATCACAGAACACCGTGACCGTCCAGAAGCCTTGGCGCATCCCAGAAAGTTGCTCCCCGCACCCGAGGGTACAGCTTCCTGAAAGCAGCAACCGGCCGCACAGACAATACAAGGTCCGCCCTCCGCGCCTTTTCCCAGGACTGACCTAGACAGCGACCCGACTCGCCCAGGATTCCTCTTAAAGTTAGAATTCGCTTCCCTAAACGACTCGCACTTCTGGTCCGGTAGCCCAGGCAGCTCTCCGAGACGCTGCAGCGTTTCTAAGGAAAACGCAATACAGACTTCCGGCTTTTTATGAGGTCACGAATCTAGCGACTGCGTTCTGGGGGCCGCCATATTGGATGCCACCGCGCTATGGGGGTGGCCATATTGAACGCCTGACGCAGATAACAGAGAAGCAACCTTGGAGCCTGTCAGTGAAAAGTCCCTTCATGGAACCCGAGAGGTGTCGAGGCCCTGGCGGATAATGGAAACATAATCCGAGGCTTGAGCTCCCACACGGCAGAGGTGGCTTGTAGGCAAATTATTTTCCACAAACGGCACAGAATAAGGGCACTGTGAAGGCAGCACCTTCCCAGGCTAGAGCCTGTCAGGACCAGAGACCATAACAACTGTGATACCTGAGCCTGGTGGGAAACTTTTATAACTTTGGAACCTCAATCCATACTCTAAATGCATTCTTAGAGACTTATGAAAACTTACAAGTGCTACCTCCAGAAGCTGTGCCCATATAGCATTTGAACCATGAGGTAGGAACACTATAAGCACGTCCGTCGTAGTTCAGTGTCAGTGCCGCCAAGGGAAGGTTACCTGCGAGGTTCTCAGCAGTCCTGGCATATGGAGGTGACGTTACATCAAAAGCAGGGTCTGGGGGCTGGAGAGGTGGCTCAGTGGTTAAGAGTATTTGCTGCTCTTGCAGAGGATCAAAGTTATTTCCCAGCACCACCTCAGTCTGCTCACTACAGCTTGTAACTCCAGCTTCTGGGACGCTGATGCCTTTTTCTGGGCTCTATGGATACGTGCATTTATGTGCACATACCTTTCTCTCTCTCTCTCTCTCTCTCATATCTTTCTCTCTCTCTCTCTCTCTCTCTCTCTCTCTCTCTCTCTCTCTCTCTCACACACACACACACACAAAGAGTGTCTAGGATTCCAGTTAGGGAGTGGTCCATTCATAATTAAAATAGGTCTTCCCACATCAATTAACCTAAATGATGTTACCCCTCACAGGCTTCTCAGAGGCTGGTCTCTCAGGAGCTTGTAGATCAAATCCAGATGACAATTTCCTTCAACAATCACAGATGGTATGAAAGAAGTGCATGGATCTGGACCTTGTGACTATCTTTCCAGTGTCCCAGTACTCTGTTCAAGTACAAAGCACTGTCCTCCCATGGACTACATTTACCACCACAGAAGAGCATTTTGGAAGTTAATTATAAATTTTTAAAATATTCTGGGGCTGGTTCAGCAGTTAAGAACATCTTCCAGCAGACACACGTTTGTCCCAAGCACACGTCAGGCAATTCACAATCAACTGTAACCCCAGCTCCAGGGGATCCCGTACACAGGCATGTACACACATGGTATACACACATGCATGGGCACACAAACATAAAATTTTTTTATTTAAAAGTCTGGCATTTTCCATACCACATGACTGCTTCAAATTCAGCAGTGTTTGTCTCAGTAGGTCTTTTGTTCTCCATTCTGTAGAACTCCAGCATTTGACTTGTTTCCAGGGTTTTTAAAAATATTTTATTATTTTTTATTTTATGTGTGCGTGTGTATTGCCTGCATGTGGGTAAGTGCACCCGTGTCATGCAGTGCCGGTGGAGAACAGAAGAGGTTTTGGATCCCCTGGAATTAAGTTACAGACAGTTGTTAGCTGCCATGTGGGTGCTGGGATTCGAACCCGGGTCTTCTGCGAGAACAGCCAGTGTTCTTAAGCGCTGAGCCATCTCTCCAGCCCCATTTCCAGTTTTTATAATGCAGTGAATTGAACTATAGTATTTGTGTGCAAAAAGGTAAAAGAAAGAATGGAGAGATGGCTTACTGATTAAGAGCACTGGATGCTCTTCCTGAGGACCTGGTTGGTTCCCAACACCCACATGGCAGCTAACAACCATCTGTACTCCAGTTCCAGGGGATCTGATTCCCTCTTCTGGCCTCTGTGGGTATTGCACACAGGTACACTTACATCTAGCAAAACACCGATACACATAAAATAGAAATGAAAAATTTGAATGCAAAAGAAAAAATAGAAACATGTATTTCCAAGTCTATGCAACTGTACTACCCCAGCAAAGACCTTAGTTCTTTGGAAGCCTTTTGTAGGCATGCCACAAGTCTGTAGCCTTTTCTCAATTCATACTCCCTTTCTCTCTTTGCCGTATGGAAGGTCTAAACTAGAGCGGTAACTCACCCTGAAGAATCAAAGATCTTGAGAACATGGCAGTGGCCCACTGAACTCAGATTCAGACTTACTTGCAAATTGTGAAATCCTATAGGACACATAATACCCACAATGCACCTCATAGTCAATGACTACAGATCAAAGCAGGAAGTCAGTTCAATCTTCAGACTATCTCAATTCAAAATTACTTATATCACCATCACTACACTGACTCTCTGCTCATGTGAGACAGTAGAATTGTCACTGTTTTCCCTGATCTCTGAGGGAAGAGAGGAGATCATTGAAAAAAAGATAAATCACTCATGGAAACTTTCTCTTACTAATTACTTAATGAGTGCATCATGAAATAAAATCTGGTGGTGAGATAACCTAATTGAATATTTTAAATAATTTTAAGAAGCTGGGCGTAGTAGCGTACACCTTTAATTCCAGCACTTGGAGGCAGAGTCAGGCGGGTCTCTGTAAGAGCAAGGCCAGCCTGGTCACATAACAAGTTCCAGGTCAGCTGGGGCTACAGAAAAACCCAGTCTCAAAAAAAAAAAAACCCAAAACAAAACAGAGAGAGAGAGAGAGAGAGAGAGAGAGAGTGCATCATGATGGAGGCGACATGGAAGGAGGCAGTTAGAACAGAAAACTGAGAGCTCACATCTTTAAGCACAAACAGGATGAAGAGAGAGAAAGTTGGAAGTAGAGCTATGAACTCTCAAAGCCCAACCCCAGGGACAAACTTCCTCCAGACAGGTCACACCTCCTAAAGGTCACATGACCCTCCCCAAACAGTGCCACAGACTGACCAAGTGTTCAATTATTTAGGCATGTGGGGACACTTCTCATTCAAACCACCACACAGGGTTATGTACTCCATGGGTGCTCTGAGTTTTTGTCGAAGGTGTTTCAAGTAGTGTGTCCAGTTTTACTTCTGTATGATTTCCTGGTAACACACGTGGTAGAATGCACCACAGGCAACCCTGCTACAGTCTTCTAACCACTTTTCCGTAGCATAAATTCTCATATTTACTTTTTTGGTCTTTTTGAGACAGGGTCTCCTGTAGACCCAGCTGGCCTGGGACTTGCTATGTAGCCCAGGCTGGCCTTGAACTCACAGAGAACCTGGGATGAAAGGCCTGTGTCACCACACCTGGCTATGAATTCTGACATTTTCTAAGACCTTATTTCTGGATAGGACTTTTGCATGGTCATTGTACTTCTACCACTGAGGAGCTTTGGACCTGATTGATGACCACGAATGACAGTATTACTGTCTAGGGATTTTTATTTGATTGATTTTCTCCAATTAAATAATTAAAAGGCGGGGGGGGGGAAATCTAAGGCATGCCAGAAAGATGCATTTAACAAACTTTATTAAAAGCCAAGAAACACATACAGAGAGAAAAGCTCTCCACAAGCAGAGAGGGGGCTTGGAAACAAAAAAATTTCAAAGCCTTTTAAGGGTTTTACTGGTGGTTTTGGTGGTATGGAGCAGGTCCTCCTTCCCCTAATTTTGGATTAGTCAACTTAAATAAAAAAGAGAAAGCCCATCGGTCACAGTTACAAGCTGAGTGAGATATGTCCAAGTCTGTCCTTGGTTTTATCTAGTCTGGACTGGTCAGCTGGAAATGGAGCCTTGCCAGTGGGAGAAAAAAGCCTGCCAGGTCTTTGTCTCAGACCAAGAAGTATGCCATCCTTATAACTCAACAGCTGTCCTATCTGTTTGTCAGGGATTTAGTATTTTTACAATATAGGGCCTAATGGCCCATAAAACGGCTTTTCCACTCCCCACAGCCTTTCTGCTTTTATCTCAACATAATCAACCGTATAATGAGCTAGAAGCTTTTACTCAAGAGTTTTCTATCTTGAATCTATCACAGTTTATTCCTCTATTTTTTTTGTTCTGTTTTGCAACATAAAATATGATGCAATTCCTCATTGGAAGTGTTACCATATTCAATACACTTACAAGCTTTCTCTTCGTGCAAATTCTCTTTGCATGTGGTACTTGGCTATCCCATAGTGGATTCAGTCCCATTGACCCTGAACTCACTGTTGTTACTTAATGAAGTTTTGAGTTGCCACAGAAGGCACTTGCACAATCATTGTGTTAACCGACTTTTTCTCCTGTCTAAGGTTAAGTATATGAGCTGTGATTCATTGAGGTATTTTCCAACTTGACTAATTAAACATGTTTTTCTCTGGTATGCAGCCGATAAGCAAGGCATGTCAAGTGGGAGAAAGCTTTCCCATAATCCGAGCAAGCCTAGGGTCTCTCCTGTATGAGTTCTCCTATGTCAACTGAGACATGGCCTATCTCTGAAAGCTTTCCCATAGTCACCACACATATAGGGCTCCTCTCCTGTGTGAATTCTTTGATGGTTAATGATACTTGACTTGTGTGAGCAGGATTTTCTATACTCAGTACATACAAAGCGTGTCTTTCCTGTGTGGAATCTCTGATGTGATATCAAGTATCTCTTGTGACTAAAGCCTTTCCCACATTCATGGCACATACAGGGTTTCTCTCCAGTGTGAGTTCATTGATGTTTAAGCAGAGTGACCTTTTGGATGAAGCTTTTTTCACAGTCACTGCACATATATGGTTTCTCTCCAGTATGAATTTGTTGATGTGTAAGGAGACGGGCCTTTTGGATGAAGCCTCGTCCACAGTCATTGCATATATACGGCCTCTCTCCAGTATGAGTTCTTGATGTACAGTAAGATTCCCTTTCCATATAAAGCTTTTTCCACAATCATTACATATATGCGATTTCTCTCCTGTGTGAGTTTTCATAGGTAAATGGAGATAGGATTTTTGGCAGAATGTCTTCTTACATTCATTGCACCCATAGGGTCTCTCTCCTGTATG